GTCCCGTAAGCCCGAGGCTGTCCTCAATGTCTACGTTCCTACAACCCCGACAAGCAAGGTTGCTGCCGGCGCTTCGCGACGGCCTTTCCCTAGTGCGACGATCCCGGGAAACACTTCCGATTCGGGGCGCGTCGCGACGCGACGGAGCCACGCATAGCAGAGCGGTAGTACGTGGTGCGGAAGAGCGAAACGTTCTCATAGCCTATACATAGGGGGAGAGCGAAGGCATAGCGTTTCAAAGGTACAGTACTATGTAGTGGCGAACTTCCAGTGGTGATGCAGTGGTACAGATACAGCGGTATGACAGATAAACAGCCCAACCCGAGTAGATATGCAGAAGAGACGGAGTCCGGAATCCTAGATGATGACGGTGCCGATGCGAAAGAGGTGCGGGACAGTACGTATGATGATGCTTGCGAGGAAGAAGGAAGGCTCAGTCGGTGAGCTCGTAGTACGCGCGGAACATGGACTCCGAACGTAATGAGGACGACGAAATCACTCCGTGAACGTGCAGGAAGAGTCGAGGGAAGCGTTTCGTGAAGTAGGCCAGGAAGCCCTCTGGCATCGATCCCAGCAGTCGCTTCACATTGTCCGGCAGGTCCTGGTAGTGGTGTTTCTACAACCCCAGGTGTCAGCATTATATCCAATGGGTTCCCTAAGCGGTCTTACCTTGTTCCGCAACGCACGAAGTAGGTCCTGCACTGACTTTCCATCGTACTTCCGGAACTTGCCCAAGTTCTCGATGAAGAGCTTGTCGAGACGTGAGTGCCAGTCGGCACCGACGACATCGTATGCACCCCTCTCGAGCGCGACAAGGTTCGGGTCCTTCGGATCGCGGCACATGATCTCGAAGCGGTCAGACGCGTCTTGGAGGAATGTTAGTCGTTTGCCTGGGTCCCAGAAGTAGGGATGCAGCAAGCAGCTCGTGGTGTCTGGCCTAGTTGGTACTAGTGAGTCCTACTATCCGGAAGCACAAGCGAGGTGAACTCACCTGTCGTACGCCTCCGGGCTCAACATGCGGGTGATGAGATCCACACCTTCCGCCCCCTCCTCACCAAAGCGCTCCAGCCCCTCCAAATTCTTCGCGTTCTTTAAGATATTGAACTCCCTCTCGAACCGGTCGCCGAACGGGTGCAACCCGTTCGTCAACACATAGTAGTACAAGCACCCGAGGGCGAAGATGTCGACCGATTTCGTGAGGCGCGTTGGCTTGCCCAGGGGCGTCCCGACTGTCGGAGTACCAACGCTTCCTCTTGAGGATTGCGACTCGTCCGTGCCAGCGTCGTCCAGCTTCACCTCGCCCCTCAATATTTCCGGGGCGCGCCAACCTACTGTACCCGCAGCCATGGAACCGTGCGCGGTCGGAAGGAAGCTCGTCTGGTCAAATTCGAGCTTCTTGCACAGACCGAAGTCCGAGATCAGCATACGATGGCCCGCGTTCTCGCCAACCCCCTTCTTCGCGTACGAGATGAGGATGTTCTGTGGCTTGATGTCGCGGTGGATGATCTTGAGCGCATGGAGGTGCCGCAGACCAGATGTTATCTGGCGCAGAGCGCGCTTCGGCTCGAACGCAACGACGATGTCGCGGAACTGGTCTGGGCGCTCGATGATGTCCGCGAGCGACGCGGGGCAGAGCTCGAGCGCTATGTAGAGGAAGTTCGCGTGCGCCTCTTGGTAGTAGTAGCGAATGACGTTCGGGTGGTCATCCGACTCCTGCAGGACGTTCACTTCGCGCGAGGCGAGCGTGACAAAGTCGGCTAGCATGCGTTTAACGGCCACGGCTCGCCCTTGCAACGAGCCCTTGAACACGACTGTGCCATGCGAACCCATGCCTAGACACGGACACTTCAGCAAGATGATAGAGCGGCACAGTTTTGGACTTACCTAGTACAGTATCAGACACGACGAGCGTCGGGACGCTGGGCGTCGGTGGGGATGGCGCCAGCACGATCGACGATGTCGGGACCGGCTTTGGCGTTTCCACGCCGTTGAGTGGAAGCTGTCCCTCCGCTGCCGCGTTTTCTCCTCCCATGACCTGTGCCACCTCCTCAGTAGGCACAGCGATTGTAACGTTACCCTTCTTCTTCCCCCTACCACCACGCTTCCGCCTGATACCCTTGCGCTTGCCGGGTGTGTCCGGCGCATCACCCTCCTTCTCCGTGTCCTCGCCGTCCGGGGCATCATTCCCACCCTCTGCGAGCGCAGATGCGGGCGAAGGCTCGAGAGCCCCCGGGGCAAAAAGGATTTTCTTCGCGGGATCCGGCTCAGCAGCAGGGGTGGGAACATCCTCGGATACCACCGCATGTCCGTTCGTGGCCTTGGGTTCAGGCTCTGACGTGGTTGTCAGCGGTACCGGCGTCTCGGGCGCGGACGCTTTCTCACCGTTCTGCAGGGGCGGAGATGCGGGGATGGGTATGTGGGTGGAAGGTGGAGCACTGGCTCCGAAGAACTTGCGGATGGACATCCAGGCCAAGAGCACGATGGCACAGAGTGCGAACGCGGAGAACGCCTGCGTCGGGGGGCTCATACCTAGCAGTGCCGAAGCCTGGTGCGTGTCCGGTCGAGACGTTTGCGGGACAGCGTCCCAGCCGACCGGAGGCCTCATTGAGCTGTTGCTGGTGTCATCCGAAACGGGGGCGTGAGGAAGGGGCCCAGGCGCATCACTGCGCGGAGGCATTCCGGGAACGTTGGTATTGAAACTGGGCGACGGTGCCACGGACGGCGCGCCATCGAGCAGTCTGCTGATCCTCGACTGGCTATCCGACCCGAGCTTTCTCACCCCGGTCAGACAGCGTATGTCGGCGGAGCCGCTTTTGCACATCTCCCGGAACTTGCGCTCCTTCGCGATCTGCCTGACCCTGTCGATTTCCGCGGGAAAATCCTTGGTCGAGTCGCCGACGATGGTGCCGGGAGGGGGGTCGAGCATGCGCCTGCCCCGTGGGCCATCGAGGTTCGCGTCACCGAAGACGACGAGGGGGAACCGGTCGGGGCTCATAGCATACAACGACCCGGACTCTTCGACAAGGCCGACGTATGCGGCGTCTAGGTTAGGGAGGCGGTTGTGCTTTGCGGCATCTGTCAGATCAACGGAGGGCAGGATGTCCTGTAGACGGGGTTGTGGCTGCAGGAGGACGAAGGGTTGTGACCGTTTCGGCGACCGAAGGACGTCGAACGTAGCGACACTGGAGATGTGAGGCATTGAGCTGCCTGTCAGCATGGGGAGGGTCATATTGGACCTACATGGGGTTCGAGAAGGCTCGGTACCAAATCGGATGTGCACTTGCAGCGGAATCCGAAGCGTCCGCCGGGGCTGCCTTGAACGAGATGATCTTGCCTGTAGGGAGCGACTGTATGTAGGTATTATCGGCGGTGCGATGGTATAATGTCTGAAGGCCATGATCTTGTTTATTAGGCCCATATGTCGAGAACGCTAGCTTCTGGACGTGCGAACGACCTCCAGCGTCTCGAGCAGGGCGCGTATGGATGGATATGTGGTAGTCTGAGAGGGATTGATCGGTACTGCGGACACGTACTCTTCCGTATACACGTACCTGTACGTCCAATGAATACCTCATTCGGCGTGAACGAGTCCTTTGGAGAGTCCGTGCTCTCGAGCTCGTCTAGATCAACCTTTGCAGGCGTCTGGGCGAGGTCCTCGAAGGGCGCCCATGGGCACTCCGAGTCCACCGTCGCCTTGATCCTACCTGTCTCGAGCTCAATGAGCAACAAGGACGTCTCCTTCTTCCCCACAAAGACCCGTCTGTCCTCGTCACCAGAGAAGCTAAAGGGAGACATGTCGACAAGTTGAGACATCGAGAATGGAAGGCGCTGTAGGGGGCTGTCGGGAGAGGACATGACATAGATGTCACCCGACTGGGGTTCGACGACGTAGATCTCCTGGGCTGGGTCGTCGTCGTCCGTGATTTCCGGGTCACGGTCGGGGTGCTCGGTGCGCACAAGAGGACCGAAGGCTGCCGGGGCGGGGGCGCTGTCTGAGGAAGCAGCCATGGACCAGAGTGGTGCGCCCGACGTCCTGTTGAGGGCGTGTAGCTTTCCATCGACAGAAGCAACGAGCACAATGTCCAGTAGCTCAAGGTCATCGTGCCCGCTGAAGACGTGCCCGTCCCGTACAGCGTTGACATGGGTGGAGAGATCCTTGCCGGTGTCTGGTCGAAGGGAGAGAATCTCAGCAAGACATGTTCCAGCAGTCAAGAGCAGAACCGAGATCGCCGAGAGGGGTCTCATGCCATACGAGAAGAACCTGGACCAGAGGAAAGAGAAGAAGGGGGAGCGGTGGTGGTGGAAGTGAGAAACGTGATGAGACGGAATTGGCACCTTGATAATTTGGGACCGCGGACAGACCATACCGTAAGTTAGCTCATACAACGTAATGTACAAACCTGGTGCACGGCCCAATGGTCTAGTAGTATGATTCGCGCTTCGGGACTTGTCTGGTTTGCGCGAGGTCCCGGGTTCAATTCCCGGTTGGGCCCTTGGTTACGTTTTTTCGACTTGTTCCTTCGATGCTTTTACCGCTGTGATACAGTCACGACCATTTTTCTATGTTACTTGTGTGAGTGAACCATACATATCTGTTGCTTGCCCGCGTAGAACGCACGTCCCTTGACTGCTTGCGCACAGCATGGGGGGGCCGCAGTCTACGGTCCCGAGGATCGAAGGCGGGTACTACGAGTATGTAGTTGCCCGATCGTGATCGTGCAGCGCCGATACCGAGCCGAACGGCGGCGCCAGCGCTCTCTCTCGCTCTTGGCATGATTCCGAAATCATGCACGCACCTCAGCTCATCCGACTTCTTCCCATCCCACCACGACCACGACACACCCCATCGACATCATCCCGCTCTGTTCATAACGCAGAAGCTTGTACGACCTGCAACGTATACCTGAGCCTCCGCACCCATGTCCTCGGCGGGGCCAAGCAGCCCGCGAGTAGTCACCCTCACTGCCGACCAACTGCTAGGCACGAGTCTCACCCCCGCACGCCCTCACAAGCAGCCCAAGAATGCCCCGAGAGTGCTAACCATCGAAGACCTCCTTGGTCCTGGACTCACCGTCGCGCGCTCCGCTCCCAAACCTGTTGCACGCCCCACCCCGAGGTCACCTCCTAGGCCGTCAGGGTCGTCGAGCACACGCAACACACCAAATCCACGTCTCGTGCGTGTCACAGCGGACGAAGTACTCAGGACAGGCATACCTGTACGCACTCTGCAGGTCGTCAAGGCCCGATCGGGCCAGGCGCAAGTAGTCACGGCGGAGGAGCTTTTGGCAGCAAGCAGCTCGCGCTTGTCGGGGCGGAGCGTCCCCCAGACGCGTGGACGCACTACTGCTAATCAGCCATTAGCAGCACCAAGCGGCAGTTCTGGAGGAAGTGGTGCCACTGCGAGCAGGGCTGGCCAGAGCCAGGGCTCTGCAACTTCGTCCGCCCAGAGGTCGCGCGATCCCCGATCGGCGCACAGCGGAACGGGTGGTCGCAACGAGTCCACGGAACAGAGTCGTACTGCCCGTGGTCAAGCTAGGCGTAGCAACAGCCTGGGTTCTACCCGGACGACGAGGACATTGCCTATGTATACTCAAGAGCCAGGGGACTCCGAGGTGATCATTGACCGGTGAGCTCGTCTTCCGCCTGCCTGCCTTACTTATCATTCTGTGAGATCTCATCATCGTTTTCTAGTGGCGCGACAGAACTTGAAGATGACGACGGAATCCCGTCGACGGCCATGTCGCCAGTCGATGAGAACGAGCCCGACAGAGACAGTCCCGCAAGCGCCGGAGCGACCGCCTCCCCACCTGGTTCTCCTACCCAGCCTGCAGACGGAGCCCCGCTCACTTGTCCACTCAGTCCTACGGTGGGAACACCGCCCATTGCGTCCTCTCTCCCGTCGGACTTGCCGCCTTGGTCGGCCATTTACGCCGAGGCGGCCCCGTCTTACGAAGCGTCCATGAGTACTCCGAATCTGCACACGACCTCTGCATCCCCTGTGGACGTACCGCCATTGCCGAGCTCGCCCCTGCTCAACTCGCTCTCTCCGCCCTCTTCGCAGGTTATATCCGCATCGCCCACTCTGGCTACGATATCTCCGACCCGTCCCACCATCCGTGTCTCCGAATCACAGCCCTCTCCTCCTTCGCAGAACTCACCCGGCTCCCGCAGTCCATCCAGTCCTGCCCGCCCGCCCGTGGAGCGCGCGGACGGTGCGGCGTCCCCCCGCCGCCGGTTCGGCTTCATATCGCTGTTTCACTCGCGCAGCTCGAGCCGCCTCCGTTCGCACTCTCACTCGCACGCGTCCTCGCAGTCCTCCCGCTCACATTCGCGCACGGGCTCTGCCTCGGCCGTGCCCACCCCGCGCGTCGCGTCGCCCGACTTGCTCACGCCGACGCGCCCGTTTCACCGTATGTCGCAATCTGCGTCTGGGTCAATGCTCGATTTGGCTTCGCGTTCCCGTTCGAACAGCTAACTTCGTATTTGCTCCCGATCTGTCTCCCCGCTCATTCTGAAGTGCTGTGCTATCTGCCACATTACTACCCCTTTCATGTTATACTGTTAAAGTTCATGATCATACCTTGCGATCCGTTCTACGATCCCCGCGCGTCTTGGCAATAATTACGGATGCGTCTTTCTCTGGACTTTGAGCTGTAATCAATGTCTCCGTATTCGATGTACATCGAGCTGTATGAAATGTGGATATTTTTGGTTCATGCCTAGCTTTGGCCTTGTCCCTGTGCTTTCCCCATGCACCCCGTTGAATCTTGAAGATCCGCTGCGGTCATTCGCTAGCTGAGGGAGATCTACCGCAGGCTAGCCGCTACGCTCTCACTGCGGCGGCCTGCATATATGGGCGCCTACATCTTCTGCACCTTGCGCCCAACCTCGGACGCCCTCGCTGTATTTCCACGACCTCTCGCTCAACATGCCTGACATACCTGTCGGCGCGCAGATATTCGACCTTGCTTTCCATCCGAACCGGCCAATAGTTTTCACTGGACTTCTGACGGGCCATGTCAAGGCTTTCGGGTACGACGAACAGGGCAACCATGAAGCAAGGTTTTCCGTCCGTCCGTCAAAGCGTTCTTGTCGAACGCTGGCGTTGAGCGCGGACGGTGCTCAAATATGGGCGGCGGGAAAGGCAAAGGCCATACAGTACGTTACTATGAGGTCGTCATGACCGCCGGGTACGCTGACGCTCTATTGTGCTGTGCTGCAGCACCTTGGACGTCGCGACGGGCGAAGTGGTCGAGACCCGTGCTGCTGCTCACGAGTGAGTGTAGCGGCGATGCACAACTGCGGTCGTCTCGCTGACCTGGACAGTGGCCGGAAGCGCGCCAATAAATCGCATGAAGCGAGTCCTTCCGAACCTGCTTGCTTCCGGAGACGATGACGGCGTCATCAAAGTGCGTCGCTGATCGTCCGTACTATCATGCGTTAGGAGCTGAACAGGCGACGCCATGGACTAGCTATGGGACCCGAGGAAGCCAGACGCAGTTCGAAAGTACACCCACCACTTTGACTTCATTTCTGATTTCATGTGGCTCGACGACAAGAAGCAGCTCGTCGCGACCAGGTGCGCTTTCTTATCGGCTGGCCATTGGGTCGTCTCTTGACAACAGAGACAGTGGAGATGGCACTCTATCAGTCATGGACGTCCGCTCGAAGAAACTGGAGCCTGTAGCGCAGTCGGAAGACCAGGAAGACGAGCTCCTCTCCATACTGCCTATCAAAGGGTACGAATTTGCGACCTGTCCTGCCGCCCGCGATCCACAATAACCTCGTCGAGTAGCGGACAAAAAGTTGTAGTCGGGACTCAGCTCGGCATACTATCAATATTCAACCGCAAGAGTGGCTGGGGCGATTGCGTGGACCGCATACCTGGGTGAGCGCTCTTCACAAGAAAATCAAGTCGTAGGTTTGCTCATGCTGTGCTCGTTAGCCATCCGCAATCTATCGACGCGCTGTGCGCAATTCCGTCGCATTACCCAAATGCTCACTCAACCATCCTGACCGGGTCGTCCGACGGGCTCCTGCGCGCAGTACAACTGTTACCGACAAAGCTCCTCGGGGTTGTCGCCGACCACGGCGAGTTCCCCATTGAGCGCATAGCGGTCGACATGAACGGCGAAGGCCGATGGGTCGGCAGTGCGGGCCACGAAGAGGTGCTCAAGCTGACGGACCTGAAGGAAGTCTTCGAAGATGAGGACCAGGACGGAAGCGACGAGGCGGAGTCTGACGATGATGCTGAAGGTGGGAGTGACACCGCTGAGGACCGAGTGGACTCGGACGACGAGCGAGAGAGTGTCGGGAAGGTTCCTGCGACTGCGACAGAGGGGAGCGCGGCCGCGGAGGCTCAGGAGGCGGATCAGTCGTCCGGGGACGAGGCAGAGGTCGTGGAGGAGCCAAGGAAGCGGAAACGGAAGAAGGAACAGGACCCTCTGAACGCGATGAAGCGGAAGAAAGGCAGGAACGAGCTGGAGGCGGAGCCAGCCTTCTTTGACGACCTATGATTTATCCTCACATCTACCGCGACGGAGTTGCAGTGGCTTGCATAGCCAGTTTGTGCTGGACGTATAGCATGCGATTTGTTCCGGCGTGAGCATTCGACATCTGGATGATACCGGGGCGTTTGGCACCATGGTCAGTATGATATAACGCATGAGGTCCTCGAGTGTTCCAGTTGTCCGATTGCACTCTCACTATTATACAAGATTATACGAAGATGATCATCTGCAACTCCCGGATGCCAGCCGTGACTGTACTCAGTCGCTCTTGTCTGGTATCGCGAGTGCAGAGATACAATGGGGGCCTTCGTGTAGCGACAGAGGGGAAGGCTTCAGTCACACAGTGCTTCCAGTCCTCAGGCAGTGTTGGAGAATTGCACGCCCTGAGCGAGGGGAGCCGCATCCGAGAAGTTGAGCGTACATGCGCTCCAACGCACGTACTGCTTCCAGGCATCACCGCCTGACTCGCGACCCCTTTGAGCATTGTCAGTATTCACGACTATGCGCTGAATCGTAATGGGCTACTTACCAGCCGGTGCTCTGCAGAAATATAGCAGGTCAGCATACGAATGAATACAGAGCGTTCGGAGGAAAGACATGCCTTGTTCCCGCCGAAGGCCGCGCCGATCTCAGCGCCGCTCGTCCCAACGTTTACCTAAAGCAATTGATAAGCAGGGTGAGCGTGGAAGAATATGATGGATACGCACGTTGACAATGCCTGCGTCAGAGCCAGCGGGTCCGATCCACTTGCCGACGTTGCGGATATCGCGTGTCCACAGGCTGCTACTGAGACCCTATACGTCGAGAAGTTTAGCATCAGACACATATATTAGAGATTTCCACACATTGGGGGTAACGTACCTGTGGTACCGCGTTGTTCCATTCAATCGCTTGCTCAAGCTTGTCAAAGACACCGACACAAAGCACAGGAGCAAAGGTTTCGGTGCTCCAGAGCGGGTCAGTCACGTCCACCTCTGGCGGGA